GAGAGAACCAAAATCCTCTGAAATACTCATTCCTCAATCTGAAATGAAATGAAAGAGGACATTTTCATTTCATACCAGGCTACTTCACAGTGTGTTGGCCAGTTATGGAGAGGAGGCCTTCGAGTGGTACCAATTAGCTGTGGCTAAGGAAACAGGTTATCTATCACCTACAGTCACTAGTCAGTAAAGCAAAGCTGTGTTGGGAAGGCTGGGCATGGTGGACAATTGTTCAGTAATTGTCCAGTACAACCGCAAATTAAATTAAATGAGCTAACATATGTAAAATTACATGTTACTGTGTTTGAGCCATGTGTTTATAAAGTATCAAAAGTACTTGTCTATTAAAGTCAACTTGAAATAAAATACAGTACCCCTGAAGTTAATAATATAAATCAAAGGCAAAATATGATGTAACATAAAAATTAGTTCACACCCAATATTATTGCTCTATTGCATAATAGTATACGTAATATTATGGTGTTATTATAGGTATACAATATAAAATGCCATTAACATTTCTCAGGAGATAAAAAGTAGGTGAAAAAAAAGCTACATGAGCAGTTAAAATTAAGATGCAAGGAGCATCGGTACTACTTCGATGTGACTAATCCTTTTTTATTTGGAAAAAAAAAAGCTAACAATTCATCCATAATGAGTTATGTACTTTCTCAAGGATGAGTGATTGTAAGCACAGAGTTCTGTGATCATCGGCTCTCTTAATAGGGCCCTCCTTCCATGTTTTTCCAACTTAAACCGTATCTGCTTTGGCTGCATAAACCTATGGCTCCCTTCTGCCCCGGACTGTGGCTCCAGTTCCACTCCCACACAGAGGAGAGGATACCTTGGCAGTTTTGAAACAATCCTCTCATCCTTCCAGCAATGGAAACAGTATGGTACTCAGAGTACACTTGAAAAAAATCTGACCCCAGGGTTCCTGGGCGGCCCAGTCATCAAGCGTCTGCCTCTGGTTCTGGTCATGATCCCAGGGTACTGGCATGGAGCCCCACATCAGTCTCCCTGCTCAGCGGGGAGTCTGCTTCTCCCTCTCCCACACCGCTGCTTATGTTCCCTCTCTTGCTGTCTCTCTCTCTCTGTCAAATGAATAAATAAAATCTTTTTTTAAAAAAATCTGACAGCATTTTCAATAAAGAAACTTAAAAAAATAATTTTCCCCCCAGAACAAAAAACATGAGACAGAAACTTGCCAAAGAATAAAGTGCACTTGCAGTGGGACAAATAGTTAACACACACAAACAGCTTCCAAAATAACTTTTATTACTATATAAAAACAAGTCAAGAAAAAATAGATGCGTATTTTTTTCTACAAAATTATAAAATATTTGGGTTACTTCATATTTTTCCAGAAGAAGGCAAAATTTAAACACAGTAATATTTTCCACTTCAGAGTTTTCAGGTATCTCCTAAGGGATAAAAAATAATAGTTTTTTTTTGTTTTTTTGTTTTTACTGTACTTTCCTTATGTGCAGCTCTGAGACGTAGCAGTGTTCTGTCAGAGTTCTCTAAGAAAGGGCATAACAAGATAGAAAATTCTATCACACGGCAATAAAATTAGCATAACACTTGACTCCTTTCTTTGCGCTTTTAGATCTGGCAGTTGTGGTCAAGCAGTATGGTACTGCAATTTTCAACTCAGCAGGGAAAAGAGCCTAATTAAAAACAAGACATTCTCTTTATTTCGTCCTTTAGAAAACAGAAACCACTTGTCAGTATTCCTGAGACAGTCCAATTGCCTTCTTTGTCATTTGATTGTAAGGGCTGAGATGCTCTTTCGAACTAGCGGCTTACATGAAACCACACAAGGCAAGGGAAGGAGAGTTTCTGGAGGGTGAATTCAGTCTGACATAGAAGCACAGGAAACTGTACGCCTTTGAGAACATTAATTCAAAAAGCATATTCATTTGAGTTTCTCAATAAATCCTTCCAGAGAAAAGGCTTTAGTGTTGATTTAGATGAGTGTTAAAATAAAGCTCCCTCCCACTCCCAACCCCAGAAATTAGATTATGGGGTAAGCCAAGCCAGACTACCTCTCCTGATGATAAAAGCTATAATTACTTGGGAAGATTTCAATCACTGTTTTGGAAATGATACCTAAGGCTTTCTTCTCCCTTCTTTCTTTTTGTGGACTTTTTAATGAGATATTTTGGGGAGAGATGGCTTTAGGTAGGAAATACCAGCTTTTGAAAGATAAAGGTACAATTACCATTAGAATAAAAAGTCCATTAAAAGAAGAGTCTCGGAAAGGTTTTCTAGATATATTTTACTATGCATTGTTTTCATAAAGGTTGAGAAAGAAAGAAGTTCCTATAATATCCGTAAGATTGCTCTCACATTAGCCCACAAGAGAGAGAAAATAAAGGGCTGAGATGATGGGTGCTCAAATACTTTGCAATGGAATAGAATATTCTCATGCCAAATCCATAATTAACTTTTCACTAGTAACCTCTTCCTTGGCCTCAATCATTGATACTGTCACTGACCCCTTCCCCTTCCAAAAACTCCTGGAATTTTGGGCACCTTTAAATAAAGAAACATCCATTTATCAAAAATATGTTTGTGTATGACAGTGCAATTATTACTTCCATCTGACACCAAAATTGTAGCATGATTTACCCATATTGAATTGTGCCTACTACATACCAGGTACTGGGCTGGGCACTGGGCATACTTACGACACCATTACCAATTTTGGAAATAGAATTAAATAGGAAGAAAAGAGTATTTTGAAAAGGGAATCTTCAATGGTTAGCCGTCAAGTTTAACCGATATGATGGAGTGAAGCTCATATTCAATCTATGGAGGTAATTACCACTTCACTTAAAAGGAACTCCACTAAGCACCAAAAAAGTTAAATGTGTTTGGTGTAAACTGTAACGTTTTTACCCACATTAAAATGCTCCAGTTTAAAATCACAGGGAAACAAAAAACCCAAATGAAAAGCGTCATTTCAGCATAGGTACTGCTCTGCAGGGTGGGGGGGGGGGTGTGTTTTAAGATTTATGTATTTATCTTAGAGAGAGAGCACGCACATGCACATACACGTGAGCTGGGGGAGGGGCAGAGGGAGAGAATCTTCATGCAGACTCCCTGATGAGCACGAAGCCCAAGGGGATCCTCCATTCCACGACCCATGAGATCACAACCTGAGTGGAAACCAGGAGTCAGACGCTCAACTGACTGAGCCACCCAGGTGCCCCAACTCTAGGTTTTAATTTAAGTCGGCCCCGAGTCTAGACATCGGTCTCCACGCTCGAACGAGGTCACCTCTGAGTCTCAATTCCTACTGAGAACCCAAAGCTCCGGATGTCCCCTAAAACTCCACCAATGTCAGGAAGGACCTTAGCTGTTGCCACTGGGAAGGGCAGACCATGAGGTGAGTCTCTCTAATCCCCAAACCCAAAGCTATTCAGCAGCTAAGATGCTGAAGAACAAAAATTGTGATTGATTAATCTTGAAAGTTACAGCTGTTTTTGCCCAAACCTTTCTTTGTTACCAAGACACAATTTTAAGATCAAAGGGGCCTCCAGGTGGGCCACAGCTGGTCGGCAATGGTGGGGTGCTATGATCTATTTTCAGGTACAGGTGGACCTCTTTTCTTGGTTGTTTGAGGAATCTGCCTTGGAAGACAGAGCCAGAAGGTACACTTTAACACCACCACTGCACTCCAGCAACTGGGGTTTATCCAGGGGTGAGTCAGAGTAGGCACAAACTAGTATTGAACAGAAAATGTAGCAGAGTGAAGTGGTTAGGGTCACGGACTGAGGAGTCAGACAGCCACGTGTCAAACCTCAGTTCTGCTACCAATGAGCTGTATGACCTTGGGGAGAGTTACTAACCTTTCTCACCTCCAGATCTCCCAGTGGTAAAATAGAGATAATGATAGTATAAAGTTTGAGGATTGAACAAGTTAATATTTATAAAGTACTTAGAAGAGTGTCTGGCATGTAGTAAGTGCCACGTAAGTACTTTTAAAAATAAAAACAGCAACTTGGAGCGTGCTTAACTCAGAGGGTTAAGCCTTTGCCTTCAGCTCAGGTCATGGTCTCAGGGTCCTGGGATCAAGCCCCCGCATTGGGCTCAGCAGGGAGCCTGCTTCCCTCTCTCTCTACCTGTCTCTCTGCCTACTTGTGATCTCTCTGTGTCAAATAAGTAAATAAATAAAATCTTTAGTAAAAACAAAAAACCCAGAAACTTGGGAAAAAGTGCCCTTTGAGGTGTGAACAGTTTATGCTACCTATGCTTTCAGGCATGGTCCCTACTAAATAGGTTTTGGAATCTGGATTAGAAAGTACACCAAACCCCAAGGAAACTTTGAGATGAAGTGGAGTTTTGGAAAAAACTTCCAGGTCTGACTAGAGAAGATTTCTTTAGCTACCTTTGGCTCAGTCACCACTCCAAAATGCTCTAATACAAACCCTGGTCTCCAGGGCCAATCTGAGCTCAAATGAGTGAGGGGGATAAATAGCAGGGGACAGTCACTGGGAGAAGGGAACCAGTCACTTTCCTGAATTTTTCTGCACTCTCCTCCTTATCTGTGTAGTATAAACCCTGCTCCAGATCTGATTCTAAAACGTTAGGATTGGATTCCTGGAATTAACAGGAAATGACTTCATGACAAGAGGCCAGAGATGCTGCCAACTGATGACATTTACCAACTGAGAGACATATTTTTGGTTTTGGTTTTGTTTTTTTTAAGTTTTTTGTTCGTTTGTTTTGGAGAGACACATTTTGATTATCTGTTCTATGTAAGGCACTGTGCTAAATATTTTGGTCCATGATAAGAAAGAAGTAACATAGCTACCATTTATATCTTCTACTATTTACACAGATTGTCTCCTTTCCAATTCAGGTAAGATCACAGGCCTCAATCCATACAAACTCTTCCAAGGAATCCTACTTTATGATTAAAATAAATATCAACTGCAGAGCTCAATCATCTTGGGGCTAAATAGGAGAAGTTAAACTGGAAGGCTGTTTTTTTTAGAAGTGAAGTTATCGGGTCACATCTCTACAACATTTTACATGGTGGATCTCTGGCCAACCTCATCAGCAGTGAAGTTTCTTTTCTTTGCTGAGGCTTCGTGGTTTAATTTTGAATCTGGTGTGTCCACATTGCTAAAGTTGACGGTTAAGCCTCCCGCTCCCTCTTGACCGCCTCCGTTTGGCTGAAGCAGGACAGAATTTGGTTCTTTAGGACGTTGCCATTGCGGTCTGGTGACTATCCAAAAAATGAGCGCCCCATAGAGCACAATCAGGAGGCCGAGGGTATTTGTGAAAACACCTTCTGGTGGGAACTTACTGTATCCAGAACTATTCCTACAAAAAAGAGAGAGTGTGTCCAATTACAAATAGGGCGATCCAGCCACATGTCAAACAGTCTTGAATTTATCTGCTTAAAAATGCACACTGGTACCCCTTCTATAAATTCTCTTAAAGTTTGACATTAAGGAGAAATTTAAGTTATGCCAAAATAACTCAATTGAAATAGCATGAAACTGTTAAAAATGGTAAGTATGAACATACTATAGCAACCTGGAACACCTAGAGCACTTAAAAATTGGAAAAAGCATGATATAAAAATGTATGTATACCATAATCACAATGAATTTAAAAACATGTACATCAAAAAGATTTAATGGGCATGCCTAACTTCAGTAGTTGTTTTGTAAGAGTGATACAGTTTTTTGGACTTTTTGGTCCTTCTTCCAAGCATTATTAATGCTATACCACATGTGTAATACATTTTAATTTTTAAAATTTTGTTACTTTAAATTATGCTTTTCCAAGGAACAAGTATTTAACATTTTATAGCTCAAATAATATAATTAGGAGAACTATGCAACTTACAGGGCAAAGAACAGTTTCTCAGTCACTCCCATAAGCACCGCGGCAATCACCGTTCCAAAGATGAGGAGCCCAGAGTAGACATGCATGGGCATGACAAATGCTCGGAGGGAAAGCGGAGCCCAAGGAAGCAGAAAGATGAAAATCCCTAGGAGAAGCTGAACATCAACAAGTACAAAGGTTATCATTTAATTCTATGTTTTAATGAATTTTAAAATTATTACTGTAAAAGCAATTATGTGGAAAAGGAAGAACCTTCCTACAGAGCCAAAGGCATAAGATGAAAGGTGTATTTCCACACTCTAGTTCCACTACTCAAAGGCAACACCTCTTACCACTTTCTCAAGTACCCTTCCAGAAAATCTTTTTGCCTGTACAAGCTTGTGTGTGTGTGTAAAGACAGAGAGAGATTTTTTAAAGTATAAATGGTGGGGCGGCTGGATGGCTCATTGGGTTAAAGCCTCTGCCTTTGGCTCATGTCCCTAGTCCCAGGGTCCTGGGATCCAGCCCCGCATTGGGCTCTCTGCTCAGCAGGGAGCCTGCTTCCCGTCCTCTCTCTCCCCGCCTGCCTCTCTGCCTACTTGTGATCCCTGCCTGTCAAATAAATATATAAACTCTTAAAAAAAAAAAAGTATAAATGGCATGTTACTCTACATACTTGTTCTGCATCTTGCTTTTTTCCCTTAATAGTATATCTTGGAGATCTTTTCATGACAACTCATGTGCATCTGGTTTATTCTTTTTCATGGCTACTGTTCTAGTAATTTACTCAATTCTATCTCTATGAATGTTCCTGTTTCTATTTTTTTCTGATCATTAACAAAGTTACAGTGAACATTCTGGTATCTTCTTGTTTGTTTTTATCTATTTGCTTATGGTTGCCAAGTAGAAGAGGAAATAAAAGATTTTCAAGTCACTAAAAGCAGATACAATAGGACACATTCAGTTCAGCCTAAAACAGTATGTGCCAAGAAGTTGACAATTTTGTTTTATGAGGAAAAAATGAATCCTGCAGAGTCCATTTGCTTGACAATTAAAGCCCTAGTAGGATATTTTTCTGCAGAGGATAGCAAGATTCTTATGAAAATAAAGTCAGGTGACACTTCCAGTTTGTTTTGTTTTGTTGCCCAGATCAACGATTAACTATTCTCCTCTCCCCAGGAGAATGAAGATGACCACTGAGTTGCTGAATTTAAAGGGGCATTTTTTCAGGTGTCTACTTTGGACCTACCACCCAAAGAAAACAAATATGAGAAGAGGGAAGAACAGGAAAAACACAACATCACTGTTCATCTTTCCTGAGATCAAAGGACTAATGCGGGGTCACACCAGAAGAATAAAGGCAGAAGGGGTCTGAGACCCTAAAACACATTGAGAATCAGCTTCTGGGACAGGGTAATGAATGGAAGTTAAAAAATGCATGCGATAGGCTGGTTGTGCCTATGTTGTTGTCCACTTAAGGCCACAAATGCCTCACTGTATGAAAAATGGTACAGAGGGTCCCCCCTGGCGGTTCAGAATGCTGCTAATTCTCCTTCAGTGAAGTTTAGTGATTGTATTAGTATCAAAGGGCAAGCATCCTGATGTACAGGTTGTGCCTTCTCTATGAAAAGGGAGCTCAGGTAAGTGGCCACCAAGGATTTAGTGCATCTACACTTGTGTGAGTAAAGTCATCACACCTTTTCTGTGCTTGGGAATATGTATTTTCCATATTCCTGTTCTCCTGACTCTTCATCCCTAAGACTGTATATTCTCTTCTTTCTTTCAGGACTTACCATGTGTACCTCTTATAATCCTGTATGGCTCAATGATCGAAGACGGTGAGGTGCCAGAAATAGGCTTACAGGACCCCAGGGGATTTAACTCCCCTTAAATGTTATTTTCACCATTATATATATATATATATATATATTTTTTTTTTTTGAAAAAAATTGGAAAAATAAATTTTTTTTTTTTTTTTTTAAGATTTTATTTATTTATTTGACAGAGAGAGACACAGGGAGAGAGGGAACACAAGCGGGGAAGTCGGAGAGGGAGAAGAAGGCTTCCTGCTAAGCAGGGAGCCTGATGTGGGGCTCCATCACAGGACCCTGGGATCATGACCTGAGCCAAAGGCAGAGGCTTAACGACTAAGCCACCCAGGCGCACCAAGAAAATTGCTTTTAAGAGGAAAATGAAAAAATTGCAGAATGCTTCACTTTGATTAAAAGTGTTCCAAATGATGCAAGTTTATAGTAACTTATAAAAACTTATAATTTAGAATAATCATTCTTTATTTCCTTTTTGCCTTACCATCTTACAAGTACTATGGTAGCTTGAAACCCAGCGGACTGAAAAAATATCCCTCTGTCCTTTTAAGTCAGTGGTTCTTGAGGACCTGAATCAGAAATGCTTGTGCCTTTCTTTAAAAAGAGATACTTGGGACACATCCAGAGCTGCTAAACAAGAACTCCTGGGAGTTGGGCTCAGCAATCTGCATTTTACCAGAATGCCCAGGCGATTCCTAATACATGTGAAAGTCTGAAGATCACTGCTTTTGATTCACTTACATTGGTTCAGAAATATGGGTTAACTGCAGTCTGGAAAATCCCTAACAGTGAAGGCGGTGGAATCTTCCATCACCTTCAGTCTCAAACACGTATTAAGAGCCAACTATGGGCAAACAAAGTGCTCCAGGGTTTAGAAACCATCACTTGCAGAAAACTGTTCTGCACCACACTGGAGTTCTTAAGAGAGCTAAAGAAGAATAAAATCTCATTAAAAAATTATTATTTAGATATTAAAGTGAAAGTGTAGTATGACCCTAATTTCCTAAAGGAAATAAGCCAAAATATAATGTATCTCTAGATTATGGCATTATCAATGACTTTGGTTCTTTTTTTTCTATATTTTATAAATTTTAAAGTTAATATATATTCCTTTTATAATTGGAAATAGACAATAAAAGTTTACTTTTAAAGTTCCTATACCAAATACCTAGGCTTTCTCAGTTAATTATTAATTATTATCCACTCAAAAATATATTTTGCTACTCCAGTTTTATCTCATGTATGAAACAAATGAGTTTTTAAAAAAAGATACATGTGAACTTTAAGAGCTAACAAGAGCTTTTATTTGCAAACATCATTAATGAAACCAGGAAATATCTGCCTAACTAGCTTCTGTGTTCGGTATGATTTCCTTTTTCTTTTAACTATAGAGGTGGATTTAATGAGCAATCAAGCGATTGACAGATGGAGGTCCTCTCCGTTTCTCTATTTACGTACTCACTCATTCCTGGATTGAAAGCACATATTCCTGGGTCCCATCCTTAGAATGGGATTCACCAGCTCTGGAGTGGAACTTCAGAATCTGTATTTCTAATTTCCCAGGTGATGTTAATGATGTTGTTCTAGGGACCACAACTTTGAGAAGCTCTGTCTTGGGCCATTTCCAAGTTGCATTCTTCAAATATAAAAGCATGTTTCTTCCAGCGATTAAAAAATATAGTCAGCACCAACTAAAATATGTCCACAGTTTTTTATAAAGAGAGACGACACACAAAGTGAACACTACATTCTCCTTGTCAGTATCCCACATCTCCTTGCTGCACTGTCTGGCATCACGAGCACATGGTGATACCCCAGCACTGGCTCAGCCATCTCCAGGACTATCTCTGGTCTGCTAGGTACGACTGAAGTAAATCACACAGCGAATGACATCACTATAAATCATGGTTATGATGCTCACAGCTATGAGCACTTCAACACTGCTCAACAATCCTTCAATGGTCCGATTTCTCAGCTCGTCCTCCAAGTTCCCTCTTCCTCAAACTATTTGCTGTCCTGTGTGCCTTCTATCAGCAGATGAGTTTATTACCATCTCATGGGAAAAACAGAGTCTCACTCTTCTGCCACCAAATCGAACAAACCAAAAAAGCACCCCAAGCCAACAATTCCTACTTTCTTCAATTACAATATAGTTACTATTCAATTTTCCAGCTGGGCTTGGCAACCTGCTTCCTGAAGACATAGCTATAGATTCACTCTAGCATTTACAACCTCTCCTCCTCTACTGGGGCCATCCTAGGAACATTTTGACACACCGGAGCTTCTCACAATGAAAAGAAGTGGGAAAAAAAAAAAAAAAAGAAGAAGACGAAGAAGAAGAAGAAAGAAAGAAAAAGAAAAAACAACCAAACACCTGCTTTGACTCTCATCCTTGTCCAGTTGCCATCCTCTCTTGCCCCTTGCCTTCTTAGCCAAACCTCCTGAGTTGCCTATTTTTCACCTTCCACCCTTCTTCAATCCACTGAAATCTGTATTCTGTCCTCCAAGAAAATTGCTCTCCAGGGTAATCAGCGACTTCCAGGTCACTCAACCCAAAGAACAGTTTTCAGACCTTATTTTCGTTGACTTTTTAGAGCATCTGACACTCCTCAAGCCCTCTGCTTCCCCTCTAATGTTTCCTTTCTCATCCCCTACTTGCTCAAGCCTACAAGTGACTTTCATCCCATATTTATGCTGACTTTCCAAATCTCATTAATTTCACCTTTGAACTATCTTTTGAAACTATCCACTTTGGTCACTGCTACTGCTACATTTCAGGCCACAATCCTTTCTCATTTGAAACTCTATAAATACTTGCAAGCTAGTATATCTACATGAAAGGAATGAAAAGGAATCTGACACAGAACTACATATCTTCAAGGAAAACAAAAAGAAACCCTCATTTTTCAAATGGACAAAACATACGAACAGGTATTTCTGAGAAGAGAAACATGAGTAATCAGCCTCCACTTCATCTACCATACTCCACTCCAGGTAGTCTGACCTCCTTGTTCCTCAAACAAAACAAACTTATACCCACATACTGTCCCATCCCCCTATAATATGCCCTTTTCACCACCAACCTCATGACTTCAGGTTTTGGTTTGATTTCCTTTAATCCCTATACCATATGAGAGCTCTCCCAGAACACTCCATACCCACCTTATCTACCAAATAGGGAAAGACCAGTCTCCCTTGCAAGTTGCTTGAGGACAGAAAGCATGTTTCTTTGTATCCATGCTTGTCTTGTGGAACAACACATACCCTACAGCCTAGCAAGGAATCTAACACACAGTAGGTAATTTAGCTTTGTTGAACGAGTGGATGGACTCATGAACAAGATTTCATTG